CGTGGTCATGGCCGGCCTCTACTCCTCTCTACTTCTCTCTCTCTTCACTCGCCATCTTCCCGTTCCTCTCTCCCACTCCCTTCCCCAAATAAACCCCTTCCCTTGGAACCGGATCGGATCGGCTTTGGTGTTGTCTGTCCAAACTGCGCTCGAATCCTAACACTCAATGTAATATATAAATAAGCAAAAATTACAAGGGATTCTAGTTGTCCAGTTTTACTGCACTTTAAATCTACTGTCGTAAATTTTATGATGGACTTGAAAAAGAAACTGAAGGCAGCATTAGCCCAAGTTATTTGTCTGAGGTAAACCACTCGGGCAGCGTTCCCTTAACCCTGGCTCACTAGGCTCATCAGGGACACAGTGTTGAACCTGTGGTATTCAAACACAGACCTCACTGACAGAACCAAGGGGTTTTAACGATATCTTCTTATATTTATTTATGTATTTGGGGTGGTTAGGTCTGCAACAGCAAACACGTGGAGGTCAGAAGACAACTTTGAAGGAGTTGGTTCTCTCCCTGTAACATGGTCCCCATGGTTTGATTTCTGACTTGGCACCAGGTGTCTCTGCTGTGCCAACTTGCTGGCCCCAAAACCAGGACTTTTGCTCAATAGCTAAGGGGTGGCTTCATTAATACTGATGCTTGCCTCCCACTTGAACAAGCAATCCAAGCGTACTGAGGATTTTCATACATTTTCAGAGTTAAATCTTAAAGGCTCTAACATTACGTAGGAGTAATCTTCAAGAGTGATACTAAAGTGACCCGAAATGCAGGCAGGCATCACAACTTTTGACTCTTCGCCATGTTGCTCTGGAAATCCTGCGAATGACCCAAGCAGGAACAAAGCATCTACTTACGGAGATAAAGATGTTCAGCAGATTCTCCAGCGTCGGGAGCTGTGGGATCAGTTTCTGAACCACTTTACTGAAGGCTTCGAATATTGAATGATCATATATGCTTGTCAGATAAAAGCTGAAAGAGAAGGCAGCATTTCACCAGGCTCCGTCTGAGCAGTGGTCTTAGGCTCTTTCACTAGCACCAGTATTCTTCTTTCTGTCCATCTCTAACAGACAAGCACTAGAATTCACAATGACCCTGCTCAAAACCAAGTATGTCCTGACAGGCAGCCTCCTCGATCCCTAGTACCAGAACTAGGGTCATTCCTTACTGCCTGGCAAGCTTCAGAGTTTGGCCACTGTTATCCATTTGCGCATCCTTACGTGCTACTCACCCTCCCTACACGAGCCTCTATTGAATAATCAGTAGCTTTGAAATCATCAATACTGAAGCACCTCAGTTTTTTCATCTTCCAATTTTCAAAATCAATAACACATATACTATCCATCTGGTAGGTGGATGAATGTACTATCTATCCTACCCCACAAAACAAATGGGAGAAATTGTCCTCTTAATTCCTATCCTAATGACTTTAAGTCTCATCTGTTATAAATACCATCCTGTTAACAAGAACTGTACTACTGAGCACCAATTAGCATCCTGGGTTAGAGTCATGGGTTTCGTTGTGTCTTACATGAGATGAGAAGTTTAGTTTTGACAATTTGTTGAATACAAAAGTAAAAAACACTACTTTTCACCAAAAGTTAGCATTTATCAAGTGCAAAACATCTTTGACCCTATCCCATCCTGAAACAGATAAACAGGTAAACTGCCATCCATGCTGTCTATGCCAGCCAGTTCTCACCTAGCCTGGGGTGACTGAAACCAAAACCCACTTGCTCCAACCTCTCTTAGGACCAGGACCCTGAGAGTTCTTACCTCAGGTGAATTTTTTCTAATCCAGCATCAGCAAGGTCATCGTTTGCCCTCTGGTGAATGTCTCTTTGGGTTTCAATTTTATGATCATCTGACAGACCATCTACTTTATGAATAAACACCTCAAAGTTGATATCTGTGTTCACCTTGTAGGCCCTGGTCACTGTGAGATGGAGCCTGGCCAGCGCTTCCATGTAGTCATCCTGGAACAAAGTTCATGCCTTCAGCTTTGTTTCCAGAACCTTCCATACACACTCAGTACCTTGAAATACATAGCTATGACCTCTAAAACTACTTTTCCCAAACTCCCAACACCCCTGCCAAAAAAAAAAAATAAAATAAAATAAAAAAAAATCTGGCTTCACAGACTTCAAGTATACAAACCTAAGTTTGTTAACACAGAAGCTAAGAAAACACAGCTGGTTTGGGTAGTCATAGTATAGGCTGTTGATAGCTGTAAAGACAAGAGCTGGAGTTCCAAGAAACTGGACCAATTCCCTAAGTCCCCCAAGGGACAGGATGCTTCCCGGCTTCCCAGGGCTCTCAAGGAACTGAAGAAGAGTACAGATGGAGACGAAATAAAGCTGGGAAGGAGGGTGAGAGAGGAGTTAACAGTAATCCAGGAAGTCAGCAAACCTTCACTGGCTTTTGTTAACTAAGCCACATGGGAGGAAGTCAGCCCAATCATGCTTGTCTGTCTGTCTGTTCTACAGGGCTGCTTGGTGCCACACTGCAGATGTGTGGAATCTTCCTTGGGGACTCCCACAGACAGTGTAGTCCCCAGAGCCTCCACTTCTGGCCCTGTACAGAGAGATTGAGACTCCTGGTCTAGAGCAATTGTTTCAAACACCACAATACTATTTTCTCCTCCTTCCTACCGCTATATAATAAAATAATAAACACCTGTGTTTAGTAATCAAACTATCAGTGTCAGGAATGGTGGCTCACACCTGTAATCATAACAGTGGGGAGGCTGAGACAGGAGGATTGTTTTGACTATCCCAGCCTGGGATAGTCTTTGAGATTCTGTCTCAAAACAAACAAATGGGGCTGGAGAGATGGTTCAGCAGTTAAGAGCACTGACTGCACTTCCAGAGGTCCTGAGTTCAATTCCCTGCAACACATGAGGACTTACACCATCTGTAATGAAATCTGAGGCCCTCTTCTGGTGTGTCTGAAGTATACTCATATACATAAATAATTCTAAGCAAACAAACAAATAGAGTTGGCGATGCAACTCAAGGGTAACGTTTGCCTAGTATTATTCATGGGGTTCTGGAATTGAGTCCTGATGTCATTTTTTTCTGTCTTTTAAATAAGAAAAATCAATTCTGGGCAGTGGTAACACTTGACTTTTAATTCTAGCACTTGGGAGGCAGAGGTAGGCACATATCTCTGAGTTTGTGGCCAGCCTGTTCTACAGAGTGAGTTCCAGGACCACCAGGGCTACACAAAGAACCACTGTCTGGGGAAGAAAGAAAGACAGATGGATGGACGAACAGAAAGAAGGCAGGCGAGTAGGTGGGGGGGGGGGGAGGGAGAGAAAGAGAGAAAGAAAAGAGAAAATGAGCTGAATGATCAATACCAAAGCTTCTTCATCCTCTTCCTCCTTTCACTATGTGAAGGTATTTATTCCACTCATCTGTTTACACTGCAGTCAACACATGTATCCAAACAGCATTTACATTGTTTTAAAACTTAAGAAATGTCAGCTTGGAGTTGCTCTTGGTTGGGGGCCATCCCTGACTTAATGCAGGCACACGGGACCAGCAAAGACGGTCTCTGAGATAATCAACTCTAGGCTCCAACTTGTTCTGTACAGAGGAATGTACATGCAGGGGTATAAGAAGACTCTAAAGATGATCAGACAGAGCAGAGGGACATTGGTGGTCGTTGCTAACAACCATCCAGTTAGCTTTGAGGAAGTCTGAAGTAGAATACTATGCCATGTTTGCCAAAGCTGATATCACTCTCTACAGGAGTAATAACATTGAATCAGGCACACCACACTGGAAATACTACAGAGCATGCACCATGGCAATCAGTGGCCCAGGTGATTCTGATATTAGACACTTGGCAGAACAGACCAGGAAAAAGGAAACCAGAAAGGTTTCTTCTACTAAATCTTTCCAAAGCTTGCTTTAAAAACAAAACAAAAATCACAGAAATATCAAGTTGTAGGCAAGATGGCAGGGTGGTAATCCTATCAAGCCTGATACCCTGAGTTCAGTCCACAAGATCTATATGGTAGCAAGAGAAGAATAGCGTCCCTCAGGCTGACCTCTGACCTCCACAGAAACATCATGCCATGTGTCCTGAATAAAGAAGTGTTTAAAAAAAAATGTGGCTGGAGAGATGGCTCAGTGGTTGAGTACTGACTGCTCTTCCAGAGCAGAGGTCCTGAGTCAATTCCCAGCGACCACATGGTGGTGGCTCACAACCACCTGTAATGGAATCTGATGCCCTCTTCTGGTGTTTGAAGACAGCTACAGTGTTTTTGCATTCATATAAATAAATCTTTTTTAAAAAAAAATGAATCAAGTTGTATATATGTCTTTTTCATTCAGTGTTATGCCTAGGAGACTTATTCTGAAATTTTGCTTTAGAGTTGGCTTGTCACGTGTCACATATTAAGACCTGTGGATGGAAATTCCAAACATGTCCAATGACCTGTCAGTTCAGGGATGAGTCTCGTGAACACACAGCTCGCCCCAACAGCTGCTGTGAGGTCACAGCTGAGTCTGTGACCAGTGTATTCCCAATGTAGTCCATGAATCCCCTGCTTCAGGCAGACTCTCATCTCAACACATTACTCAGACCTCTGGATCACTGCTAGTCCTCTTCGGTTTTCCTTTGGGCACCTGCATTCTTGTACACACACATACGTAATTAAAAGTAAATAAATCAGGGACTAGCAGGGTGGTTCAGGGCAAAGTATGCAAACTTTGCCTAAAAGACCCTAAAAACGTAAAATGCCATTAAAAGGAAGAAAATGTGGGGTACAAAAGTACAAGTCTGTGATCTCAGCTATCTTTGCCACAAAAGGTACAAGATCACAAGCCTGCAGCCAAAATTTAGTGAGGTTATATCTCAAAGTAAGAATTGTAAAGGTTCAAGAGTGTGGCACTGTGGAAGAACACTTGTGTAACATGTGCAAGGCAGGCTCTGGGTTCACCTCAAGTAGCATCATCACTAGAACAGAGGATTACAGACGTGTGTGTGTGTGCGTGTGTGTGCACGTGCAGTGCATGTGTACATAAACATGCATGTGTGCACATGCTCTATCATACTAACCTGATTCTGTGACAAGAGTCTCTCATCAAGTCTGGAGCTCTGCTGACAGCTAGCAAACCCCAGTGACCTTCCTGTCTGCTCTGCTCTTCCCTACCCTTCCCAGCTTATGTGTGACACCTGGGCTTTTGTACCCTGTCCCCAGGGGGCAGAGAGGGAAGCAAGATGTTCATGCCTGCAATCTCAACATTTCCTAAGAGGCTAAGGTAGGAAGGGTGCTGTGAGTCCAGCCTCGCCATAAGTGCCAGGTCAGCCTGAGCAACAGACCCTGACTCAAAGAAAGAAGAGGTAAGGAAAAAGGGAGGGAAGAAGGAAGAGAAAGGGAAAAAAGAAGGGTCTTTCTCAAGCATTATTAGACTTTTCTGTGACCTGCAGTAAACTTAAAAAAAAAAAAAAAAGCACACACATTTACTAACCTAACTGAAAAGCCTGCTTCATGATTGGATAAAATTGTTTATCTAAACACTGAGCCTGGAAAGATGGAGTCTAGTTGGAAGAGTCTAGTTCCTATATTACCAGTTCACAACCACCTAAAACTCTACTTCCAGGGGAGCAAACACCTCTGGTTGCTTCAAGAAGCTGTACTCGTATACACAGACCCACACATGTACACATGGTTAAAAATAAACAATAATAGTAAGTAAAAATAAGTAACTAAACCCATTTGGGGCTAAATTACAGCCATATCATAAATGCCTTATGCACTTTGCACTGGACCTGCTACAGAGCACTGTATGGTATCTGAGTATTTACTAAGCCATCATCTTGAAATGATCTTTAGCTCTGGTTAGGATCTACTTTCTCATAGGCAGTTACTTAAACGGCGGCAGAAATACCCTGGGAAGCATTAGGGGAAGACAGAATTCCCTGTCCTGCACTGTGCACACATTAGCTGCTCCCTGGGCCCCTAGCTCCTCGATTTACAACCCCAGCAAACAGACAGGAGGGCAAGGGAGACATGATAGAAAACTCGGTCAGTACACTTGAGAGGACCAGGAAGCTCCCAAGAGACCTAGGCACACCAAAGGTCCAGGCACAAACTTTGGGTGGACCTAGACAGAGAGTGAACCCATCGCACATCAGGCATGGCTCGCTCCCTCTACAGTCTTCCCCTGAAGGAAGAATGAATCCCTAATGCACTGAGAGCCCTCAGAGCCAGACACACAGTGCAGCCTCCTGTAGCCGATGCTTTGCTAAAGATGTTACTTCTATATTTACCCTGGAAGGCTGACAGGACTACAGAAGCAACTCATTTCCGGGAAATCTCTAAACCCCAACTCTAGACTGGGTTTGGCAGTCTTTGGAGAACCTGCTTCCTTTAGGCCAGGGAAAACCTCTAGCTTATACCAGAGTTTCAGGGCCCTCTGAGGACCCAACCCCACACACCCTTCCCAGCGTGGTCAGCCTGATCTTCCTTCTTCCCCTTTACACGAGGGACAAAGTCCCAGTCAGAGGAGACGGTGAGATCGACTAGCAGCTGGAGAATGGGGCAGGGCCCTCACCAGTCAGGGGACCCCTCTTCATTTCCTTTATAACTAATTTGAAGGAGGACTTACACAGATCTGTTAACAAACTACTAAAAATAATTCTTAGGACAGAAAACTAGAACTTGGGAGGATTTTAAATTCTTGAGTCAATGCTATGACAAAACCTGTATCCTCAACCTATCTACGTGAACACATTTCTCAGCCATGGGAGCAAAAACACAAAAGTGGAGCTGGTTATCCAAACACAGATGTGAACTGTGGAAAAAGTCATGAACTGTCCATCTTCCTAGGAGACACCTACCTCACATTTTAATAGTAATCTATAAAATAGTTACCGTGATCAAAAATATACTACTAATAATAATTTGATTCGAGGGCTAAAGAAATGGCTCAGTGGTTAGAAGCACTGGTTGCTCTTTTAGAGGACCCAGGTTCAATTCCCAGCACCTACATGGCAGCTCACAATTGTCCAGTTCAAGGAGATTCAATGTCCTCTTCTGGCCTCTGCAGGCACCAGATACACAAGCTGTTCAGACATACACATTACAAAATCAAGTAATACTTTGATTCTGAAGAAAAAAAATTCACTTAGAATTGTATTTACCTAGAAAGTAAACACTGTAAAATGTAACCTTCTAAGTAAATTTTGTTGCAGAGGACCTGTCATTCCGCATATCTTCTGGGATCTGGCCTTCCTCTGGGAAGTTAAGTGTGTTTGGGCTATGACTAGGCAGGAGCCATTTCTCTGCTGCAAAGTCTGAGGGCTCTAGAAATTCTGTATGATAGGACAGCCTACTGCAGATTTAAAAACCTAAACCACCCCACCGGGCCAGCAGGATGACTAGGCAGGTAAAGGTACTTGGCTCAGGCCTGACAATCTGAGCTTGATCCTCTGATCCCACAGGTGCAGGAGAGAAGACTGCCTCTGACAGCCCCAGCCCCCCCCCAACACACACACACACACGCACATGGGCTATGGCGCACACATGTTGCACACCCATGCATATGTATATGATATACACACCCATGTGTACACACACACTCAAACACACACAACTTTACCTGGGAGTCGATGACAAAGATCAGTGCTCCTGTGCCCCGGAAGATCATCTCATAGTCAAATGTAGGGTCAAAAAAGTCAATCTGCCCTGGGAAGTCCCAAATCTGGAAGTTGACAAAGGAGCTGTTGGAGACATCTTCCCGGCAGATCCTGTTGGTGCTCTCCAGGAACAGCGTCTCGCTCGGGGACATTTTGTGAAAGACAACTTTCTGTATGGACGACTTGCCGCTCCTTCTGAGACCCATGAGCAGGATTCTGGGCTTCACCTCAGTGCTGAAGGGGTCACTGAAGTCCAGAACTGGAAGAATCCCAGAACAGGATAAAGTGAGTTGTTCATGGCAGCTAATGGGGCATTTTCCTTTCTCCTCAGATGGTCTATAACTCTGATGCCATTCTTCCAAACAGTGCCATCTGTACCACCAACCATAGAGGGACAGCAGAGGGAGATCACAACCCTGAAAACTGTCCTAACCCCTTCATACATGCTGCTGTACGGGCCACCATCTCAAGCAGACTCTGGAATACAAAAAAAGCAGAGGATTCCTGGAGCTCACTGCCTGAAATAGAACTCAGGTCTTCAGAGCAGTCAGAGTATCCACACACTAATGAGGTACTCTTGGTAACCTGCTGGCTACTGTCCTCATGGGCCTGAAGAACACAGGCGCAGACCAGAAGCTTCTTATTCAGATAGTGAGAGAGCACATGAGATTTAGACAGGCCCACCCTTTTCATCTGGTAAGATAAGCACAAACAGTTATTAACATTAAAATTAAATGGGACTGGAGAGATGGCTCAGTGGCTATTGTTGTTGTTTTTCCAGATAGGGTTTTTCTGTGTAGCCCTAGCTACCCTGGAACTCGCTTTAAAGATGAAGACCAAGCTAGCCTTGAACTCACAGAGATCCACCTGCCTCTGCCTTCCGAGCACTGGAATAAAAGATATGAGCCACCACCATGCCCAGCAAGTGACTGCTCCATGAGGCCTGGAGTTTGGTTCCCAGCACTCATGTCTGGTGGCTTCACTGTACCAGCTCCAGGGCATCCAACCTTTTCTTCTGGACTCTGTGGGCACCACAGTCATATACACAAACCCACAGTCACACATATATTGTCTATGCATAATTTAAAAAATAATAGAAAAAAAATTTTTTTTTAAAAAAAGATCAGGCCGGGCGGTGGTGGCGCACGCCTTTAATCCCAGCACTTGGGAGGCAGAGGCAGGCGGATTTCTGAGTTCGAGAGTACAAGGCCAGCCTGGTCTACAGAGTGAGTTCCAGGACAGCCAGGGCTACACAGAGAAACCCTGTCTCGAAAAACCAAAAATAAAAAAATAAAAAAAAATAAAAAAGATCAGCTTTAAAAAGGCATAAAATGTAATTGGTGATGATAATAAGCATTTCTCAGGGCTGTTATGGCAGTTAAATGAAATCTAGGACCTAAAGTAATTAAGACTCAAGCAGGTTTGGCGATTTACACCTATAATTCCCGGGAATTCCTTAACCTGAGAGGCTAACTCAAAAGAATCACAAGGTCTGGACCAACCTGAGCTACACTGCATAAAGCCTCATTCAGCTAAAGATGCTGGGCCAGCTGGTAGTATTCCATATACAAAGACTGAGACCTGAGACCACATACAGGTTAACTCAAAATGGACCAAACACCTCAACTAAGGAGCTAAAATTAAGCTCTTAGGAAGAAAACTAAGTAGACAAAGGAGACCGTGGCCTGTTTTTTAGCTGTAATCATAGAGGAAGGAAAGGCACAAGCTACATATAAAAATTGTAAAAGATAGGCACTTCAGAGACAGTTCAGAAGTTAAGTGTACTTGATGCTCTTGCAAAGGAGCAGAATTCATCAGTTCCCAACACCTAGGTCAAGAGTTCAGTCACCTGTGCCTCCAGCTCCAGTGCACCTGGCACCCTCTTCTGGCCTCCTTGGATAACTCTACATGCATACACATACACACATACAGTATAAAAAGAAAACAACTTGTTTGGTTGGTTCTCCCCGTACCATCCCTACCCCCTACCCCCATTTCTCAAGTCAGAGTTTCTTCTCTGTGTAGCTGTCTTGGAAACTCTGTATGTGTAGATCAGGCTGCCCTTGAACTCTAACCTGCCTCTAACCTCTCAAGTGCTGGGATTAAAGGTGTGTGTCATCATGCCTGGCTTCGAGACCCTATCTCAACAACAACAACAAATCCAAAACATATGCCCAAACAAAAACCTGTACATGAATGTTCACTTCATAGCCAAAACCAGACACAACAGAATTAATGCCCATCAACTCATTAATGAGTACATAGAATGTGACATAGTCATATGATGGAACATTCATGAGCCATGAAAATGGAGCGGGGTGCTGATTCAAGCTACAACAGAGATAAACCACTGAGCTACATACTATAAAAGGGCATGTGGAAATGCAGTATACAAAGTACAAAGTACAACTCAATTTAGGAATTATTCTAATGACATTTCTTCATTTACAGGAGGGCATGGTATGCCTATGGACACCTCCCCATCACACACTTCCCTCACATCACCTCCCCCACACCATGCACCTCCCCCCATCACACACTTCTCCCACATCACCTGTCACACTCTTCGCCCCCCCATCACACCTCCTCCAACCATGTACACCTCCCCCGCCCCCTACCCCCAGCACCATGCCTACTGTCTTCTCTAGTTCAACAAGTGGCTAATGATACAATGATACAAGTTGTGATCTAGGGAAGGAAATACACCTAAAGGCTCCTTCCTCATCAGTGATACATACACAGGACTGCTGTGACAAGTCTACCTCAGGAAATTAAGACCACGGACTCAGGTCACGCTAATGCCTTTCCAAACTGAATCCCTAAAAGGAATGTGCACTATAAATAGTAGCTGGACAAATACACACATGTGGAAAGCCAAGCCTGAAACACAAAGTGGTTACGAGAGAACCTTAAGCAACACAAAGACAGGAGCCTGCTGGCCCAGAGAACCAGAGTGTAGTAATTCTTGCTACAATGAATAGGGCTCAATCTTCCTTGTAGACATTCCTCAAACGCTGAACATGCAAGAAATGCCCAGACTAAAGTGCTGATTACAGAGAATACAGGCTGGACAAATGGAAGACGCAAGTCCTCCAAAGGATCTGAACAAACCCCAACTTACAGAGACGGAAACTAAAGACAGTGACTGTATCAGCCTGTGAGCAATCCAAGAAAGTGTCACGGATTATGGATATAAAAATACTGTGGGGACGGAAGACAGGATGAAAGGTGCACTCAATACCCACAAGGACTGGTAAGGAGAGAGAAAACCCTGGAAGCTGTAAAATAAGCACCAATGGCATCTGGAGTGCCACTCAGAAGTTCCACTATCTACCAAAGAAGTTCCCAAAAGGGCAGGCACAGTCATTTGTGCCTATAAGCCCTGTGCTTAGGAGGGAGCGGCTCAAGGCCAGTTTGTACAATATGAGGCCTTGTCTCAGAAAAACAAAAGGCAGAAGGGTCTGGCTTTATAGTTCTTGCATTAGAGAGGCCCTTGGTTCAATACCCAGCAAGGCAAGAAGCATCACACACAAACACACACACACACACACACACACACACACACACACGGGGGGGGGGGGGGGAGGAAAACCCAAGCTCATTCCAACTTTAATCATAACACTGAAAAACTAAGAACAATTCAAATATCTAACAAAAGGTAAATGGATAAGCAAATTGTAGCACATCCTGGCAATACAGAGAATTAAACAGGGGCTGAGTATGTGTCTAGAATACACAAGGTTCCAAGCTGGATCATCAGCATAGGAAGAAAGGAAGGCAAGACAGCATAGGAAGAAAGGAAGGGGGCCACACAGAGAAACCCTGTCTCGAAAAAAACTAAAAAAAAAA